TTTTCAATTTGTTTTATCCGTATTGAAATGTTTCCCCGATGAAATATTAAATTACAAGAGGTTTGAATTCGTTGTTTTCTTTTCTAGATTTTTCAAAAGTGTACAAGGCATAATTTATCGAAAAAAGAGAAAACATTTACATCAAAAAAGCGAGTAAAAAGAGAGTGTCTTGCAATGCACGTCAAAGGAAGTGTCTTGCAATGTACGTGCAATGTACGTCATATGGATTCCGATTGTTAAGTCTTATGATCAAACGAACGTGTAAAAATCTTCTGAAATTTCCGAAAGTTATACATGAGCTTTTCGATTCAAGATATTAAAATAAGCTTTGGAAATTACCTGAATTAAGGTTTTCAAGGCTCGTTTAAAGATCCTGCTATTGTTTTCCTAAAAAATTGTAGAAATCCAAAAAAAGTTGTTGAAACTCCAGATAATTTTGAGAAAGAAGAGATAGAAAAACTAACATGTTCATTTCGACCAGTAAGGTCCAATAAATGTATGGAAAAAAGTTCTGTGACAGCATTTTCACAGAAAAAATACTGTATACGTTAATATGATGAGTCAGAATTGCAAAAACATGCCAGGAACTATTATTTCTCATGACATCCATAGTGTTTTGAAGAAAACATGCTTCAAAATTGTTCCTTAAAATTGATTTAACTTCAAAATCCGTTCATTATGATTTGTCAAAATTCAAATCATTAAATGAAATATTTGAGCTTTAGAATATTTGAAGTGCTTCTAAAAAAGAAAATGCTTGTTCAAATCGAAATTTTTCATTTAACAAAATCGAGCAGCCACTGGAATGTATTAGTGTAACTGGATTGTATTGAGCTACTAGACTGTAGCTACTGGACTGTATCATGTCTTTCAACATATGTACTGGACATGTAATAAAGAAGATTAGCGAATGGCAGCAACAGTTGATATACGAATGAACCAATGATAGTGTCAAGTTCTGGAACCGATGACACATAAAGAGAGTTTGCTTTAAATAATTAGTCAAACTATGCTAGGTTACCTTCTGCATTTATCAAGTTGTTGATAACTGATAGATCTTCTGTTGTAAGGAGCTGATCGGAAAGGGAATCCTCAACATTTCCTTGTGCAAATATCTAGTTACATAAATGAAACTTCTTTTAGTTAATCCCATAATGGAACATCAAAAAAGCACTTGAATTTTTTATTTGAAACTACAAATCATGATAAAATTCAACAGCAGTTATATATTCTTCAGCAGAAAGTTTATGCTTCAGTTCTACCATTTCTTCCCCGACAAGCTACTTCGAAATTAATCCTTCTTAAGATCACTAAGGAAGCATTTGTTAATGATAAGTGATTTATCCAAAGAAGGTGCTTGACCAAATATCCAAGGATTAACAAGGTGACAAATAGATTAAGATGGGGTAAAAAGAAGTTTGTTTTCAGGATACCGCTCATCCGTAGAGGTTCCCATTCTAATTCGTTTATATCGACTTGATTACGCAGTCCGAAATTTCTTGCATCATTTTCAGTATCTTCTTCTTTTGTTGCACTTCGAGTCTTGATAATTAATTAATCTGCGAATTTCAAAATTCCAAACTCGACGAATCACAACTATAAGAAAGATTCTTCAAGAGATAAAACTGATCAATATCCATCAGCTGCGGATTAAAAAGTGATGCAAAAGTGGAAAAAAAAGCTAGACGAAATAAATTAAAGCGCAGAATAAAAGTAGAGGTGAAAATTAAGCGGAATAATTGAATAAAATGCAGAAGTGGTAGTAAGTATGGAACAGAGCACAAATAGCTTAATTTGTAATTTACTTATCAAATTGGTCGAGTGAAGATTTTATGTGTTGCGATATATTCAAAAAATAAAAATAGCTGACTTATTTAATCAATTATCCAGTAAAATGCTAGTGCTACTATTATTAAAAGTAGTAAAATTTCAAAAGACAGTTCATAATCAACAACCGAATTGAGCGAGCAAAAAAACGCGCTTTACCTTTAATGCGGAAACATTGGTGATACATTTTCTTTTAACCAATAATAATGGGTTTGTGCATTAGGTGGATATTCAAATATGCAAATTCTGATGAGTCAGTAACACCCTGAATAAAAAAGGTCAAATATTGGATTAGATGGAATGAAAATCATTAATAAGCAGTCATTCCTCGTTTTAAGGAGTCGTTCAAGAACTTCTGTTGTAAAATTATCAGACACAAGCACATAAGTGGAAAAGATGCGCTGGTGGACATGATAAGTCCATGAGAAGGAAAAAGAACTGGAACACAAGGTAATCACTCATGGCGTTTCAGACTGAACAAAATTAAGGTAAACAAAAGGGATCGAAAGGAAAATTACGATTTTAAGATAGAGCCGAACTTGCTACTTTTTTCTAAATTTGTTACTAAAATGCTTACTTCTTGAAAAAACAACTTTTGTATATGTGAAAACAAAAGGAAAACTATAACCCACAAAAAGTGAGAACAGTCGGTTTAGGTTTATTGATCCAATCGGTTTGGTATTGATCCGATCAGTTTGAGTTTATCGAAGTCACCCACAGAAATTAACTAATTTTGTCAAATGTACGAAAATTTCTCACTCTGTGTCTTAAGAAGCATTTGAAATTTTGTTCCATTTAACACGCAGAAATATCATGTATTACTTAGTGTCAAATTTTCTTTGTTACCGAAACTGAAATTTGATTTTTCTTTTTTTTAAATTGAACGCTTTCTTCTTCCATTGCCAGGGAAACGAAGATAATAACTTTCTCTCTTCCTTCCTCTCTTCTGCATCCGAAGGAATAGTAATCCTTAACTGATTGTTCCTGATGAGTCATCTTCATCCTCGTATCATTCCCTTATCACACCGTTTACTTTTCTAGACAGCTTCGATCATTTAAGAATATTTCATTTTTTAAAAACAAAATTTATCATTGTTATTAAAACTGAGGTTGTGAAATGCAATTCAAAGATCCTTTGGTTTGAACACTGAAGAAATTGAATGTAATATAACAAGAAAACAGATAAACAGATTACAATTCAGGACATGGCAAAATTACGTACATGAAACTGCATCTCAATGATAAATAGTAGCAGAGGAAATTCAGTTTGCCCTTCGAACGAATTTACTGCTAATTAGAATAAATCGATCAGTGTGTTACATCAATGGACGTTTGAAAGATCACACATATGGACAAATCCGGAACCGGCAACAATATATTAAATGATTGAAAGAAAAAGACGGAAAGTATAAATATCTCTGAAAGCCGTGAAACATGCATCAGGTAAAACAATATGAGTAAATCTACATATCCGGTAAAAAAATTATTCCTAATATGATTTCGCAATTTGAAATCAACAACAATTCCTGGCTGACTTCAAATAGCCAACACTCACTTGCATAATGGCGGTGAAATGTATTGATTCCACTCGTGTTGTCGCACATTAACTTTTCATAAAACGAAAGTGAAACAATTTGATAACACATAGGAAAGTGATAAAAAAGAAATTACTATCGTCATCGTCATTATCTGATAAATTCGAGCAGTATTTGACAGCTTCGTTACTCGAATTACTAATTTAGGAAGGTCTAAAATCCATCAATTAGCTCTCCCATCCATTTCCCCCTGTTGTCATTTCGTTATGCAATACAAACTTATTTCTGTACGAAGTAGAATTCGAAAGAATGGAACAATCTGAGAAAAAATATTAAAATGTTCATGTATAGGTAATTTGAAAAGTGATGCTGAATTAAATTGACTTTTTTAAAAATTTCATCCTAAATTGGTGGCAATTGCTCGCATTTGAAAATTTAAGATATGATCGGAGAGATAACAAAATGAAGTGCAAATGTTGATTAATTGAAGAAATGATGAAATACTCTTCGTTATACGTCATAAAAAGGAAATGTTATCGTTGCACACTTAATTAAGCCACATTATGAATACTGCTAAAAAGATGATAGATGACGCAGAAAGAAACATATGGATGATGGCAGCTAATACGGAGAAAATTAGACCCGAATAACATACCATAGAAAAACAACGGAGGGCACATTTTAAAATGTTGAAATTTAACGAAATATGAACATTTAAATCGCTAACATTAATGTAATACTTCCTTCGATTATTAACTCATATAACTTTTTCCTGATTAAAAATATGTTAGGAAAAAGCAGTGTGATGGAATCGAACTGAAAGAAGCAATGAGCGATCAGTAGTGGACACAAATGGAAAAGTGACTCAATCAGCTGTTTTTCGTATCTTCCGTAATGCGAATTGGTTTTTGAGAGTCACTGCAAAACATATTTCTTGTTGAAAAATGATTACTACAAGCAACAAATCATGAGGTTATTATGCTCATAAGTTGATGAATTATAGTTTAAAGTGAGTACACCTGAATTTCCTTATCTTTACTGTTAATCAGAGGTCAATTCTTTTCATCTTTGTAATCATCATTTCACCATAACAAAAGCGATCTATAAACTGTGCTCCTATGACATGAAATATAGGAAGGAACAAATTGTTATTCTCCGACGATTATCAGAATTTTTGATAAGTATTGATTGACAAAGGAAGAGTATTTTTAAAGATTTTGGCCAATGCTTTGAAAAAAAAAAGAGAAAAGAAATGAACCGGTTAATAGCTGTATGCTGCCGGCCAAATTCTCCCAAGTATCCGTCAGATGCCAAAACTCGCACAAACAAAATCATATTAATGATAAGGAAAAATGCTCCACCAATAAATGCAATTCCCGTATAAAAGATATGAAAACGATGGTAATTTATCCATGCCCAATTAATCTGCCATATTTGCACAGCAAATCGAAATATGACAAATCTGTTATTATTAGCTATCATTAACGTTTATAGCACAGCTGGCACAACTTGAATCATTCAAAAACGCGTTAATTTCAAGAAAATTAGTTTAAAATATGAATAAAATCTAATCAGATGTCCAGGACGGAAGTTTTTGTAGTCTATCCAATTTGAAAATACAACTTAACGTGACTTACGTAATAATGTTTGCAAATTGAATTACTCGGAAAAGGCTTTGCTTCAAAGTATTATTGCCAGTAATTTGCATTAATGAACGAAGATGTAAAAAGATGCTGAAATGCATCAAAACTTCAATTTGTTAGCAAATGTAATATAAATGACTTTCAATTTCTTTCGTTCATTGGCAAATTCAATTAAAATCTTTATTATTAAAAGATTTTTACCTATTAATTTCCATTAGGAGAGCCCAATAGGTGTATGGGATGAATTTACGAGGAAGAACAGCTGAAGCGAAAGCAAATACACTTGCAGCGTGGTGAAATAGTAATTCGATGGTCCATTTCGAGATTTCATGCCTTAACATATCCATCGTATCACAGATAAAATATGCTGTAACATATATTTTTCAGTTCAAAGAACAACGGTGACAGTAGGAAAAAGCAAAAATTACAAGTTTTACTTAATAAATTAAATGCTTAATTAAATTCATAGTGCAGCATCACCACTTAAAGCCTAATCATAAAATATCATTTTCGATCAATTTCCCTTTGCAAATTTCTTTCAGCACAATTATATTCCATCATTAGTAGGCAAAGAGGTGTACTAAGTGGACTCAACAATTCCTTTAATTACTGAACAGTTTAATGGTTAAAGATCAAAGGTTTCCATCACTACTCTCTAGAAATTATTGTTAAATTCCTTCATAGTCGAGAAGCTGTCGGACCCATAGATAGAATAGGAAGTTGTACGGCCCATGAACTATACCAATGTATCGTTTCTTCTAGCATTACTTGTTGATGGGTTATAGAAAATACAAATGAGCACAGACCAGTGATACTTGAATGGATTAAACATAGCGTTAAATTGCGCAATCGATACTGCCTGCAAAAAATGTTTACTTTTATTAAAATTTTTTTATCTCATACTTCAACAAATGATTCATCTAATGAAACTAAGACTATAATGCTCTACTTCCTCTATCTGATTTCAATTTTTCTGAAATTATTCGCTAATGATCATTTTCGGAAAACGTTTTCGAGCTAATTTAAGGTTTCGTTCTTTGAAGAACCAGAAGAGTATATACAAGGGAAAATGTAATCCTTGACCAATTCTATAAACATCGGACAATTATGATGGTCTAAAGTTCATTGTCTTTGAATAAAGTAACACTAAATAACTTGATTGATTAATTCAAAAAATTACAATACTTTGAATAAAAGAAGTTACAGAAACCTGAAACCACTATAGCTCTTCCATGCATATGTCCGAATGCAATAGCCTACAATTTGGAACAGAAGAAAGTACGAAATGAAAGGTATTCGAAAAGCTGGTTCCCATATGCCTTCAAGTGGCGGTAATCGAAATTCCGCACCTTCATATCTGTCCATTTGTTCCATTGAATTCAACCAACCTGATCAGTAGCACGTTTACAATAAAATGCATTAACTTTAACGTCTTCTAGCTAACAGTCCTTAATCCTTGTCTATGATTCCAATAAATATGTAAATACGAAATCGTGAGAAGCACATTGCATCAACTGTGCCATTTATGCTAACGAAATTTGCATATATGCAAATTTTTCTGAAATAAATGATCTGCTTGATATCAGCAACAGAAATATGAATGAATGATTTCTGTGCAGACGAACTATGATAGACTTGGTCAGTTGGGGATGATATTCGATTAATAGTCAAATATGTAATGTCAGAATATTTTACTTGGAATGAAACATTTGTTGTACTTAGATGATTTTGTGCCCTTTAGAAGTAGGGATAACATAAGTTGGTTTAATTACGAAATATCTCAAAGTGCTTCGGATGTGTCCGAAATAATAAGCTGTTAAGTCTGGTAGTGGTAATATCCATTTCTCGCACAGAGAAACTTTCCGATAGAGTGTTAAGAAAAATTAAAATTATAGGAAAAAAAAAAAAACAAATGTGAGTGTTTGTGCAATAACATTGATTGATAATTTCGGTAATATAATTAGAAATTTTTAATCTTCAATGAAATCGGAAATTTCCCCCCGTTTAATATCTGTAACAATCTAAAGCAAGAATATGTCGATGGATCGAAGGAACCCTGTGATCATTGATCTCATTTACAAACGTTTAGAAGTACAGACAACTTTTGCTTGAAAATGTAGAGAAAACAAGTTAAATAAAAAAAGAAAATACATAATCATAGTATGAATAACATGGCATAAGTTCAGCACTAATTACCAATCTGTCTCAATAAAGTCAATGAATTTTAATATGATCGAATAATCAATAATTGAAATAAGTTCACCTATGTTAATCGATAATTCGTATATAACATTATATATTTCCAAACCCATTCTTATGAAAGAATACAGGAAATTTTATGATGCTGTTGTGAACGGGGTGATTCGAGAATCTCCAGCACATGATCGTGGGAAGTCCGAGAGATAATGCATCATTAGGTACTAAAAAGTACATGATATAATCTGAGTGAACAAGTTGCTTTCAAGTATGAATATGCCATCGAGGAAGACATGGAAACTAAGAGCTCTCAATAAATAACACCATAGCGACAAACTCGATTAATCTTAGTCGGTTGCTTCAACAAACAAGCGACAGACAGACAGACAGGCGGAAAGAGAGAACGATCCTAAATATTCATAAAGATTACATTGTAAACATTAATTCAATTGCATATTACTAAGGGAAGTTATAGCTAAGCAGAAGAAAAACACTGATGTGTCCCATCTGTCCTCTATGTAGCAAAGAAACGATAGTGTCGCAATTTATTCTGATATTCCTGCTTTAGCAGAGTTTTTATGTGAAATTTAACGAATACAGATAGGATGGCGTAGTAATTTCAACAAATATTTCTGGGAAGAATCAAAATCGCAGTTGCGAGTCATCTAAGTTCAGAGTCCCGATTTTTTAAGCTAGACCAGTAAGTTTAAAAGAAATTGCTGGATTTTTACGGTAGATTGTCGCTAGTTGTTACCGCTAGTTGTCACCACCGAAAGGAGGGCTGACAAGCAGCAATCATGCACTGAACTCTTGGAGTGTTAACTACTGTAGCAATGTATTTACATTTTGATTTAGTTGAGCGAAAGAAGCAAATATCCTTTCCTGGGAAAGTACTAGTTATTCAAAGCTATTTAATTTCAATGTCATTTACTAAAAATATGATTAGTCAATCTACCTAAAATTTTCGCAATTCGGTTCGAAAATCAAACCAACCATGTTTGAATAGAAACTGATGATGCATTGAGTCCTCTTATATTATTGGTCTCAAATACAAATATAAAATTGTATTTTGAATTATGAAGTGTCTGTTACGGAACTTAGATTCAACTTCATTCAGTTGAAATTGTTAGAATGGAACCGTTGAAGTAGGAAATGGTAAATGGACATTAATGAAGAAGCAGCATGAACTGATAAAGACTACTAATTAAATTACGACAAGTTAAATGAACCTGCGACAGGTCACTTGCAATGAGGTACGGGAAGGTACTGTTGTGATTCTCTACCTTAATACTTTCTTTACTTTCTCCGGAGAAAGTGAACTGAAATTCTTAGGTGTAACCGAATCACAGAATATATGCTAAGCGTGTGGATCTTCTTTCACTTTTAAATCGAAAAATTCCTGCACGAAGAAGCAGTAGTTCAAGAAGAAATATCAACCTACCCTTATACCTTTCCGCTATTGCCGTTCCTTACCTAAACCTACCTTAGGTCCATATGCAACCGTTACAAGCACAGATTCTAAATGTGGAAAAAATTTTTTTCCCGAAATTTTCATGGTAAACTAATGAATACATTTCATGGAATTTATTAATTTGAGGTTTACTAAAATTTCGTTAAGTGTCCCATCCAAAATTAAATTGAGAATTGAATTTTATCCAACAGATGCAAATTCACCTTTATACAGAAGTGGTTTGCGAAAAGATTTTTGAGTATTGAGTAATTTTAATTTTACAATGGTCAAAGGAAAAATCAGTATATTATGCAAAAAGACGATTACAAGGCATCGAAGTTTTAGTTTTTCGAAAGGATATTTCATTTCAATTAAATTTAACGTTGAAAAATAGTCAAAACGATATGGAAAATTACTATAAAAAAAAGAATTCTTGAGAAATTAGCATGGCGAAGATACTTTTTTGAATGGAATTCAAAAAGATGTTTATTAAATTGAACGATTGAGAATGAATAAGAAAATTCGTTTTATGAAACACCGAAAAATGATAAAGCGACAAATCATTTATACAAGTAAATATCCAAAATAAAGAAATGAGGAGAGGGTATAATTTAGCACAGCAAGTTCATTTCACTTTCATTTTTGCTGCACTTTCGACGAAATTCCTGATGCTGGAAAAGAAAAAACATTAGACGATCAATCAAATGATCTCATCATGTCATCATGTAAAGGGACAAGAATGAGAGATACAGACTGATATTACAATATAAATTCAACTGGAGATAGTTTCTAATAATTTAGAGTAAGAGCTGCACTACTGATGTTGAGATAGATAGATTTGTTACTGATCTTCAAGGTATCAAGAAAAATAACAAATCCCAGATCGTTGTTTTTTTTTTTTCTTTTGAAGAAATTATTTGTTTTGCTTTAATTTCTCTGGTATCCTTCATCTACGTTTACAATTATCCCATTGTTTCTAACTGTATGACAACAAATCTCTTTGTATTTTGAGTAGTAGCAAATCGATATTTTAGATGATGGAAATAGAAAATAATACTTTTTTGATATGATTGCATACGATTTCTTCAGTTCCTGTGATCTCACAATCATAAATATACGATCGTTCTGTCAAGCGATTGGCATAACAAAGATTAGATCTCCTGAAACTTTGTGTCGTTCTTGTCTCCCCACTGCTTTTAATTGGAAAAATTTTGATATTTAAGAATACCAGTCATTTTTTTCCTTTCCATCAAAAAAAAAAAAAACCAAGAAAGTAAGGTTAATAGCCACAACGATAAACTTTTAAAGCATAGCAGATATCAGCAATTCTCTTACTTTATGTTAGGCCATTTGTTTCCTTCTACTGCACTTTTCCTCCTCTCATGAACCAAAAAAAAAAAAAAAAGTGAGTTTATATCTAAAGATATTCAAAATTTAATCGATAGTTATAGCACCGTTACGGTTATTGTTTTAGCAATGTGTACTGAATGTGCTGGGTCATTTAGGCGGGTTCTTTTTATTACGTTAATATTGTAGTTTCTTTTAAGTTTTCATAAAGTACAAGTCTAGATGAAGTGAACATGATGTTATGAATGGAGATAGAAGGAGGTTCGATAAGGTTGATGAATTCAGACCTATGTATGATCTATGTTGAATGAAAAGGCATAAAAGATCTTAGCAACTTTCCTGAAGATATTTTGAAGTTCACTTGAGTGACATTAAGTAAATACAATTAGATGGGTAAAGAAGTTCACCCAACTTTTACTGCTTTTTTCTATTGTGGCTGAATTTCAGAAAAGGAAAAAGAGAAAATTACACTTACCAATTGTTTATGCAGGAGAGAAAGAAAAGCAGAAATGACGAAGAATCTTTTTTTGATCCAGACAGTTGCGCAAAGAACAATCTTGTTAATAAAGGAAAGGAGGAATGAGGAGATAGAACAGAAGAAAATCAGACGTCGTAAACATTGCTGCTTGTTGCTATGGTATGAGTGTGACACTCGCTGACATGACTTCATCAAATTTATTTGTCTTTTAACAGCTAACCAATGCTAGCCTTCCTGTTAAGTAATACTCCAACTAATCTGCTTTTCCAAACACAGAGCCAATGTTTGCAATTGTTTATTTACTCTCGAGCATGCAGATAAAACTAGCAAACAGCAAGAAACATTTCTTGCTGGAGGATGGAACAGTTTTGGGAAGGTTACAAATACATTCAACAATAAATACGGGACGATAGTTCACATAGATTAACTTTAACACTCGATTAACATATGTTGCGTGTAAATTAAAGTTTTATTCGTTTTCTTCAAATCAGTCACACAAATACACTTCTCCAGTGGCGCCCGGAATTTCCCAGTACTGTGCTGTGTTTTGTTTTGGAAGTGTTGTCATATGAAAAAAACAAATACAAATTTGATGAAATTTATTGAACTTGGCTCTTCTTTTGCTCTCAGCCAAAATGAATAATGATTCCAATTAGATTTCAGTCAATTAGTTCAATTATTCTATTTTCTTTCTAAGTGGTTAGATCAAAAAAGATAAAATTTAAGTTCCAAATGAATAAGATGAAAGATATGAATTATTATCATACTTTTTTCGTTGCTAATAAGTTGCATTCATAAAAGATAATTATTATTTAAAAAATATAAATTGAATTTTGCTTTTTTCTGCAATCCAAATTTGAATTCCAATTCAATCGAAGAGTTACTTATTGGTCCTTATTAATTCACATATCCTTCATACTTCTATCATATCTTTCAACATCGAGTTCTCTTCCTTTTGTATTTTACACAGAGTGGCACGAGCTTTGCGCGCGAATTTCTCTTTGTAATACTCAAAAAGCAAATAAATATATCATTATTAATCATTTAAGATCAGATAATTCAACTATATGGCTTACACATTCTAAATATCATTCTACTTTCTATTGAATAATTCATTCCAAGCGCAGTAATAAGAGATCTGAAAATAAATAACTCCTATAAATACATGAATATTTTTAACTAAATAGCTCTAAGACATTAGGAAAATGAATTTCTTCCATGATTTTGAACCCAAACTTTCTCTTCAATCATATAGAAAACTTGGCTTTAACGACATATTACTAGAATTTTTCTGGATGCTTTCAAATTTCGATGTACCGGCCAACTTCAAAGAGAAATAGTCAATAAAATAATTACAGCGATGACCCACATTTTGTATTATTCCATCGATCAGCTACACCATAAACTTTATTTTGTGCACCGTCAAATAGTGATATTGCACTGATACTCTGTGCTGCTCCAAATACCACTAAAAAAAATTCTTCAGAATTTCAAAAAGTTAGTGGTATTTGAAAATATGAGGGTTTAAATATGCGTTACTTTTTCAGATCAGATTTAACTTCTCTTCTCTTTTAATCATAAATACTGATAAAGATGATTTAAAAAACTTAATAAACAACTATTTTTTAATTTAATGGCAAAGATGCTATCATTGCATAGAATTGTATATGTGCTCATTGTTTAACACTAATCTTTGTAATCATAAAACCAATCTTTTCTTTTTCTTTTTTTTTCGTTATCTTGCATTATTTCCGACTATTTCGACTGAAGTTGCCCCGAAATCAAATTTGTGTTAAAATTGTGGAAAAGCATTAATCAAACTTGATTTGAATAATCGAAAGTAATGCAAAAGATGGGAATCATTCGTTGTGCATACCAATGTCATATTATCACAGCGAACAGTCTTACCAATAAATCTGAATAAGAAAATGTGATTAAAATATGAATTAGGCAGAATTGGAAGACTGGAAAAAATTGTTTTTCCATAGGATAAAATGCCTTTTGCACGAGTTCCTTTGCAGAAACTTTTCATATATGTCACACAAATTTCGTACCAACTTTGCATCCTTAACTTTAGCTGATATGACATCTATTAAATATATCCTTCGAAAGCTCTAAAATGTATCCTTTTAAAGCTCTTATTGTCTTCTAATATCAGAAAATGATCCCGTGAATCGCAAAAATTGGAATTTTGAAATCAAGAGAAAAACTATGAACGAGATCATTTTCCTGAATACTTTGATTTATTGTTAGAAGGTACTTCTGATACAACACTTCTAATATTCATTATAGCTATATGACCTCAATTACAAATATAATCTCTTTTATCTTTGTCTGAGAAGTGAAAATATAACAGTATGTTGTTTTGTTTATGCTACTTCAACTGGACCTTGTAACTTGGTGGTCAGACAGAAGCCTTCTTGTATTTTCAATACATGTACTACTAAAATTTCAGGAGAATCAGAAAGTTTCGCACATTCCTTCTGCTCTTTAAATTTTCGCGAAAATTCTGAGATAAATCAGCAGTATGAAAAACAAGCTCTGAAATAAGTTTACTTAGAAGTCATTATCCGTTAGCGTAAACTTTCTTCAATTTTCTCATAGCGATGTGTGTTCAAGCAAAGAAAGTTGGAAATATTATCTTTCTTGTTATTATAATTTTATTTAGGAATGATTTGAAAAACAGATTAACTCGAGTGGTATTCATTATCGAATGAAGCAATAACCTCTTCAGAATCAAACGCATAATCGGTATGATTTTGCTTGACTATCACAGCCAAATGATTTTGATGCAATTCTGCGTACTTGGTAATTGATAAGAAAGTTTGATTTTTGTAAAGGAAAAATATGATCAAAGTATTTGGGGAATTAGAAATACTTAACTAGTTTATAACTTGCAATAAATACCTATCATATAAAAGAAAGGAAAAACAATAAAATATTAACAAAAAAGATGGAAAAGCAACAAACAAGTGGCAATCGAAAACAAATCTCGGAAAAAAAAAACCAAGTTGGTATTGCAAACAATCATGAACAAATTATCGTTTCATGTTCATTTATCTAAGCCAAAAACTATGATCGAACAATGTAATGTATCATGAAATGTTTTAACGATCATCGATTAATGTTTGAAGTGAACTTGAAGTGACAAAGTAGAAATTGCAAGATTTTTGGATCCCATCTTCCATGATGATCTGCCTTCTTAATCAACAACGACTTCCTGACTCCGACTGAACGAGGAAAATACTCGGGTGACAAGGTAACAAGGATCAGGGGGTAATGTACTCAAAATGCCGTTCTATACTTCACAAGACATTTACAGTTGTGTAAGAAAATATTCCCGAAGTCATGACAATGTGAACAGAGTTTTAAAGAAAACAAATCTTTGCAACTATTAGTAACGATATCCCATGTACACCCCAATATATCATCAACTGGTTTGTATTCCCGAGCGTGCACTTGCATTTGCACCGGAATTTTCTCCGGTGATTGACGTTGTTCAAGTACACCATCTGTATTTGTTGTATCCATCCGACCTGAATTCCGGAAGTATTGCCCATCACTGATCAAGGTATTAATTCCAAAATTTTGTAATTGAGTATCAAAAAGATTTGGCGATATTTCAATTTTGGCTAGTGGTATCGGCAATGCAACCGGTGCCGAAGCACTTATGAAAGAAGGAATTGCAAACAATTCTGTGATGTTGGGTAGCTGAATCACTTCCCGAATGTGGTGCTGATCGTGAGCGACACCTGAAGATAGAGATGAACTGAGGCTTGCATATGAAACCGTTGTACGGGTTCCAGAATCATGACCATGTGAACCATGTGGATAATTAGATATGAGAGGTAACGGTATAGGAATTGCATGCATCGATAAATCTGCAACGTGCTCAGGATCTGATATAACGTTTGCAGTAATAGGTGATGGTGTAGCTTCGGTAACAGGAGGATAGTTGCGAACTTCTATTGTGGTACGCTCCATTTTTCTTCGGATTTCCACGTCTATATCAATCGCATTGTCGTTCAATCCACTATCCCCCTCATCTTTTTCCTCAGGTGTTTCCATATTACTCGACAACATCCTCTTTCTATTTCGTTGCTCTTCTAAAATAGCTTTCACAAACTATCCTGGAAATAGGTAAGAAGTGAATTTCAAAATTTACTTAATTTAATCTAATTTAAGATCTACACGAAGAATAGAAGATAAAAGATTGGATTATTCTTCAACGCTCAAGTATTCTCAAGTAAATTGTTGGTTGAGTGATGACAATGACAATGGTAAAAAAGAACTAAAATAATATTTCAATACGCTGCATTGTATGAGTGAAAAAGTTTTAATGACAATTAAGATGACATAAGTTGAATGATAGTCATGAAATAGTGATACAACGATTGAGTGATAAAAAATACCATTGTTTGGGAAAACAGGAAATGCGATGTTTTGAAGAGTGCTACTATTTGCCGAGGGAACCAATTGTGTGTCGTTACTAGCATACATCTGAATAAGTGTTACAACCGGGAATCTGATATGTGGTCCTGTGACAGTACCATCAAAATCACCTGATTGTTTGTCCACCAATATTTCTGGTGCTGAATATGATAATATAGTTGTAATTCGCTTCATGAATATTGGATCCATTTTTGATTAATAGATCTTTTATTAAAATTCTGCTTAATTTTTTGCAATACCATAACTGTAACACGAATTTGTTTCATTTTTTTAAGCACTTTTCTCAAAAAGATAAATACTTGGAATTTTAGCAAATGTTACAAAGATCAAAAGTCAAAAAATTTTTCAATGAATGAGAGGTGAGTTGTAACTAGTAGAAGTGGAGAATTTAGTTTGCTTCATATTTTTACATTTCAATTAAATTGAAAGTTGAAATTTTTGATCTTGTTGAGTGAGGGAAACACTGAGAACATATTTTGCCAAAACAACATTGGAAAGTTCATCAGAATAGCTTTACTCCATCAAAATTTTTCACAATATTTTGAACGAGTTGTGTTTTCACAGTAATAATTAACATCAAAATTAAGTAAACCTTTTCTTTCCCGATATTGTTCAAATCTACGATTCCGATCCTTCAGTAAACGACGTTCGTCGTGTTGTCGGTGTGGATGTTGTATCAGATTAGTGGAAGGAGGAGAAGTCAATGATGTTTTTTGGCGCACTGAGACAAAATTTGTCTCTGGAATCATTGCCAGGCCTTTCTGATTATATTCATTCATGTTCTGTGTACCAATAATAAGCCATAATTGTGAAAAAATAAATGCACAATTCATCAGCATTATCAAATGATATCACTTATCTTCTTGATCTAAATTTTTAGGATTTGATACACAGCATTCCGTTAAGATCAGCGAATTACATTGTAGCGCTTATTTTGCAGGAAAAAAAGAAAAAAATTACAGCTTAAAACCGGGGAATATTTACAAGATCGTTAACCAAACAGCACATTGAGCGCTAATTACGACACAGATAGCAAGAGTAATTCAAATTATATTAAGTAATTGGTTTTAAAAAAGGAAATAAAGACTACAATTCAATTATTTATCAAATTATTTGTATTAACCAATTACTTTTTACTTTTATCATAGCGTATTCTTGCTTAAGATCATTAGTAGGTAAGCTGCATAATTTTCAAACTATTTAGGAAAAAGGAAACCTTGAAATTATAGCATATGAAGTAGGAAAGTGTTGCAGTCAACCATTTAATTAGAAAATTCAAACAAAATTTATTGATCGGTGGGGAGGCATATCAGTCTGGAATGCGCAAATAAGACATTCATGAAATGCGATAATATTAAGATAAAACAGATCATTTACAGTGATAAAAATGATTATTTTCTTCCAACTACAACAAAATTATTAAAAATTTAGAAAAAGGAAAAGAAATGTATCTTTGTAAGAGATATTAATGAGTATATCATGTTGTTGTCTTTAAAATCACATTACTGCAGTAGTCCCGGATTTACAACAACAGTACAAACAATTCGGTATCCTCGTTTTCTCGACGTCATTTTTGCTCCTTCGCCATTTTCCACCACTCTTCTTCTCCTTTCAGACACATGCCTTCATTGACAAACAGCCAGCACTATCTTCTTTTACTTTCATGTCAAATGTTATTCGTGTCGATAAATAGACGTTCTCTACCAGTTCAAGTTTTGAGATTGCACATCTGTAGGCAGTACATCATTAATTTGAATTCACCGTTTTAATCCTACGATATTTTTCCCATTCTTTCCAGAGCAACGAGCAACTAGTAAACCTATGCAGTCATGAAGCTTCGCAGGAAAAAAAGCCTAACAGATGCGCTGATGTGTCCTTCCTTCTGTCAAAGGAATTATTGCAACGGTGGTTGCCTAATTGATATCGCCGGATTAATTGAATCAGTATGTTTCTTTTAAAAAAAAATCTCTCTCACACTCACATTAGTTAAGCAAAGATTTTGCTTTTTTATCCATCCAAATTGTACATAGAAATATGATCAATGACTGAAATCTTTCATCGGATTCAGAAACATTCAGAAAATGCCATTAAATTTGAACTGAAAATTTAATTTCTACTTGGAAATGATCTACATTCATCTGTCTCACGACTGTTATCGACTTTCTAAATAATTGAGCTGAGGACCCATAAATAGATCAATGAAAGATGAGATAATGAGTTGATGATCGATATCCGAATCTGCTGAATGATTATCGAACATATTTTTGGAATTCTGAATGGTGCAATATTAACTCTTTGTATGGCTCACAAATCACCAATTATTCATAGACTGCAAGGGTGTGTCGAATAATTTTTGATCGCTGTGAAGAATGACAAAGTGTTTGCCAATGGTACTTCGTCGAAATGGGAAATCGGAACGATAGATCATGTTGTAAAGAGATGTTCAATCATTTAAAAATATCCACTTTTGGAATAAATTAGCCATTGTACAAGCCGAGGAAAAGTTACATACTTATTTCATCACCGATATTGTTAAAAGAATCATTTTAAAGATTTCTTTTATTAATAGACTCAATAAGTACATACTGATAACATACGTACAAATGGTTCGTTTCACTAAAACAGACATGTCTTGCTAAGCGCATCGCTGACAGTTATGACCACATGCCTTTACGCTAGGTATAACTATTTTCAGAATACGAAGTTCATATCCATAAATCTTTCTGGTGATAACTAAGGATATAAATCAATAAGTAAATAAATATATTAAGCGTATAAGTTGTTACAAAACTTTCCAACGATATCCCATCACAGTGATGTAACAGAAAGTAAAATTAAATTCAAGAAGTGTTAACTATCGTGGCGGAACGGTTGGTCAATGAAAATAAGGGGAAGTGAAAGATTGAATAAGTAAACACTGCAGTAACTGCATAACAAGTTTTATATTCAACACAGCTTCACTTGTCCGGCGCTTGGTGTCACTTTATGCAACAATGAGGACTGAGAGTGGAAACATTACCAATGAAAAATCTCGATGGTCGACCAGCATTGAATCCGCAATCAAATTCATATCATGCATAATATAACATTCCCCTTCACTCCAATTTCTTTGTTAAAGAGTAGTATTTCAAAAAGAAAAAGAAAAGCAAAATGATCGCAAGTGGTCTTTCATTCAACCACATCGAAGTATCCGCTTGAACTGAAGATAATTAGGGGGAGATTACGAAGTTCTTAAGCAGTTTCTTGTAGACATTGTGAAGATAAAAATAAAAATCATGTAAAGTAATGCAAAGTATCATGCCCACTTATTTCTGAGACAGCAATATGCTTAATGCATCATCTCAAGTTCGTCTATTTCATTGTCCATTTCCAAGATTTGTTAATTTTCTTCCTAAATTAGAATACCATATCAAGGTGGTTCCCATCCGCCAAACTGAAATATGTGGCTACAAAGTGATGAATTGCCAATTCGCAAGCAATGATCAAAAAAATTTTGATTTGGAAAATAACGTGATAAACGATGATGTTTTTATTAGAAAAGAAAATTTCTAAATTTTTAAATATTATTTATACGGATTAAGTCCCGAAGAAAATCAAGGTTACGACACAGAACCAAATTATGATGGAAATTACGATAGAAGAGAATGATCAACAACAGAACTGGACTGCAAAACACGTTTTCATCCTAGTCGGGACAACAATTACTTTAAAGATACCCATCATCAGCGTTGTTCTATTCCATCAACAGATTCATGTCTCGTTGCGAATCAAAATCGAATCAGCTGCTAGTTCAGAAGTCCATTTTTCATTGCATTCCATCTTAGTTAAAAATCTTTATTCTTTAACGTTTTAACCAAATGATCGGTAGTTCAATATATGGCCGAAAAAAAAAAGAAAAACATGGAGCCTGGCAATAAAATGTGTCAAATATCCTAATAAAAATTTCAATAATAAACGTGGCTTGAGATATATTCAACTGTCAATTATGAAAACTTTCATTTGATAGGAAATATACACAGAGCAAGTAGAGGATTTGGGAAATAAGGAAGAGGAAGTAAAATTTCGTTTGTGAAATAACTCGTGTTCGTGAAATAACAATATTTCAGCAGTTTTTTTCAAGACTTTGACCTGAAAAAATTAAATGAAATCTAAAGTCAGTGACTATGAATCATTTTTTCTACGACTATAGATCGAACATTAATAAAAAAGCGCTATTGTCAGCAACTATGAAGTGATGAAAATACCAGTAATCGAAGGATGAAACATAAAACACTGTGACACTGGTGCCTTGATGTCCATTGTAACTAGAAGAAACAGCCCCGAACCAATTATTCTCTTTTCAATTCAAACAGTAATTTGACATCAAAACAAGTAATGAAATGGAAACCTGCATCACCTGTAAGGAAACTCAACAGTTGGGAGGAATCAGAATTCAGTAATCTTTGAACTATGAAGTGTACAACTGGCTTCATTGTAAAAAATAATAGTTGAAAATTAGTTCAACAAATAAGCAAATTTGGATGTTAAATAATTTCTAAACACTGTTCAACGTGTCTATTTCACCCATGCCAACACTTATGTGAAGAAAAATAGTAGCCATACTGAATGCAACAAGTTCGTATGTTACATTTTTCCTTTGGAAAATATTTAAATTATTCAGTTTGATCTACAGTCATTCTAATGCAAAAGTAAGACTAAGTAATCGACAACCGAACCCTGAAAATTCGAATTTCAGCGGATATCCCGACTTCCATATTCTCGTCTTCACCATAAAATTCTTCTGAGAAAACCTTCTAATATCATTTCTAAAGCCTCAGACATTAATCAACCTACTCTTAAATTTATTTGAAAAATAGTTGCACCATCCCCAAGAACTGTCAAAGTATTCCTCTGTATCCTAATACTTATGCGACGCGGCATCCTTAAAACGTGAAAGTATAACGAAACCTGTAGTATAACGGAAATATAACGAGAGAAAGTCACTAAAAGCTCTTTATCACGCACCATCAAGCGCGGTAAACTCTTAAAATCATGATACTAAGCAGTGGGATGATTAACCTCAAAGCATGAAAAAATACTTCCATGACGATTCTATTAAATAAGAATCAAGCTCAGTAACATCAACTTCCAACACTGGAACACTTACACATGAAAAACAACCAAAAGATCATACAAAGATTAGTTTTCTCTGATATTGTTTCTACTTTGCCATTCTCAGACAACTATGGCCCTCAGATTCTCATCTAAATAAGAATGAAAGTTCGAAAACAAAATGACCCTAAAAATCCACGAAACTAAAACACCAATGAATATTCATACAATCAACTTTGCAAATCTCTAACAGATTTTATTCATTGTTAAGAATTTGATATTAATATAAAACGTACACTGAACAATCACTAACAGAGATTACCAAACATGTCACAGACTACAAGTTGTTGTTTACCATCAGTTATCAAATTTAAGTTCCTTTAGCGAAAAAAGAAACAGACCACGAAACGAAATACAACAACAAATTAACATAACACCCATATGTCAACAAAAAGAACAGATTAAAGTTACTTGTCCCTTAGAGTTTATACGGTTAATATTTTGTGTGGTAGAAATTCGCATATTTATCAAGCAAAGTCAACGTTCAAGCTTCAGTACTAAGTAAAACCTGAAAAGAAGAAAAACATAGAAAATAAAATCAAACGTTCAAAATTATTCTTTCTTAATCGGCCCCATTCTGGTCAGCCGTGCATACTGAAGTCCAGAATAGATCGTTGTTGCGGCAGTAGCAAAACTAAAAAGTGTTTTAATGAAACCGACAGATAAATGACAAGAGCAACTGTAAAAATTTTCTTTCAATAAACTTTTTTTTGGAAATATTCATTATTAAATGATAAACCCAACTTACTAGATATAGGTCAGAAAAGGATGACTTGTAAAATCTGATATAGGAGCTGCCAAGCTTCCAGCGATTGCACACATTTGAAGCGCTGTATTCACCTAAACTTATTCAGATCTACAGATTGTGAAATCATAGCCAAGAATGGATTTCGTAACCGTTACAATGGAAACTGGTAACTCCAACAAATAAATCTACAACGTCTCTAAAAAAAAGAAAACAACGAAGTTCAACAATCACGAGACTTCCCAGTACTTCGTAAATTATATACATCCATAACTGAAGATTTCGCATTAACAAAGTTTAAATTTACCCAATTAAACAAAATACTGAAACCAAAGTCGGCTGAATTCCTGCTTGCTAAATTTTCACCCGTTAAATGTAATCAAGATAAACATGAGAAATCTTGAATGAAAATAAAAGAAAATAAATGGAACTACTGAAGTATCAAATTTAAACCATGTAATAAATCTACAACGAAAAATAAAATTAGAATCTGTAGTTTAAATGAAACAAGATAATAAAAAAACAGATAAAAAATGTGCGCTAGAAAAAATGGAAATACAGGATTTCATCTAATTCTTATGGATGAAAAAAGAAAGAAAAGGCGAAAAATACAGACTTTACTGACAGATGTTGGTGTGACCTGAAGTGGTGAAATAGATGGAGTGAAATATCGGATCAGTGTTATCGGTTTTTCCATTGTTTTATACCTGGTCACGGCTCCACCAATGATTAGGCCAAAATCTCGTAGAATCACCAGAATCGTAAGAGCCACTAAAAGTAGGGAATGTTACAAATGAAACAGTTTGAAATGAAAAGTCACAAGGATTAAGAAACGACATACCATTACTAAAACTCTAATAAGGAAAATTACATGGTATAAGTTTGACGTAAGTGAGAGTAACAAAAACGGTTGTGACAAGTAATTTGTCAGCCACGGGGTCAATTATGCTACCAACTGACGAGCTTTGATTTCGAATGTTCCGAGCAATATAGCCATCTAGCTGAAATGAAGGGTAATACATACAACAGATTCTCGCAAATTCTTATGAAAAAAAAATTCTTGTACGAAAAATATAATCATAATTTATGTAAAAATCAACATATTTCTTAACTTTCACTACAATGACCAACAATGGCTACTCAGTTTAATGTCATGCTTTTCGCTGATAATGGATGAGTTGAAAAGATTCGAGAATGAAAAGAAGTTTCCGTCTCTTTTGTTCACGTCTATAGTAAAAAGAAAAGTGAATTAAGATGTACGGAGCCTAGGATCTTACATTTTTACTAAAAATAAGAGGTAGATACTGAAGTGGATATTGAATGTATAAAGGTAATCAAACATTATCAAATTTTGAAATAGTTAATATAGTAATAATTAAACGAACCCAATCCGTTATTCCACTAACAGCAAATAAGGCCAGTGCAGTCATATATGATTCTTTTATTATTAAATATCCAACTACCGGCGTCAATCCAATTCTGAAATTATGCATAAAAAATCCGGTACACCACTTAATTTCTATAACCCACGCAGCTTACTTCAGTTTGTAAATCCATTACCGTCAATATCCGTTGGTGAGGTATAAATATAGGATTACCCATAAAACAAGTGGCGTTCAAGATTTTATAAAGATAAACAAATCACCTTTAATTTTCATGTGGACCTGTCAATAAATGAGATCAATGCATAAAGCTTACAAATTAAAGAAAGAAACCTGAATAAGCACAAGGCATTTGGTATAGTTGCAATTTTGTTCCCAGATTCACTTTGATTCTCGTCTAATTTTGTTTTTACTTTCGCAACGTGTTGAGAAGTGTAGATTTTACCATTGCTGAAAATAATATGTGATTATTTTAACTTGAAATTAGATGTTTTCTTTTGCAATAAATTTAT